GGAAATCAGAAGGATGACTTGATTTGACACCAATGTCAAGATGTCAAGAGAAATAGGGGAAAGTTTAAAAACTACATGGTATACAACCAAGGCAAAGATGTAGACATTAGGCTTGTTTTGTGTAGATCCAGTCATATTTTTTTAAACAAGAAAAATTTGAAAAGAGCTACTTGAAGGTAGATTGGCATGCTGTGAACAACACTATATTATTGGCTAGAGATGAATTTAATAAATTTCAGGATAATGATATGTCAGGAAAAGTATAGAGGAGATCATTAAAGGGCCTACTAGGCTATTGATATAGGAATGTTACTTGCATTCTTGTACATTCTCTATACTTCTGTAGAATATAGTTTATCCTTTATACTACTGTAGAACACAAGTTGACATAGCAACACCTATCTTACTCTTGGTAAATCACCCTACTTCTGGATTTGGGACACATTCAGTGCCAAGCTGTTGAATGCACACCACCATACACAAATATTAGGTAATATCTATCAAAGTTAGATAAGGCTTTGTATAAAATGAATAAATCGTGTGTGAGAGTATTAATGTTACCATCTCAAAATCTTATGATAAGTTTTCACTACTAGTATGCATAACTTAAATTGTGCACATGTTTTTTGTTTATACAATGGCTAATAATAAGAGGTGTTTCTCAGTTTCATCAGAGACTGCCGTAAGTTGAATAGTTAGCTATAAGAAATAAAGAGCAAAGTTTTAGGTATTTTTTTTGTAACCAAAAGGAAAAAATTTCAATAGGTTTGATAAAATGCATTTTGTCCACACAACTTTTCACAAAATAAATCAGTCATGTTGAATAGCTAAGAGAGTGTATAATATCTCGTAAAAGGGTCAGGTAAATAACATAGAAAGGAATAAAAATCATTTTCTAGATAGGTCAAAATATGCAATTTTACAGTTATTTATTTTAAATTCAGCAAGAGATTCGTTCTCTGGTTTTGCAACTAGAAGGAAAAAATAGTACAAATAAAACAATGCATAGATGTTTAGCCAAGCTGTTACAAAACACGGATTACTGAATTTCAACAACAGAACCAAGACTCCCAAACTCTACTGTATACTCTGCTTCTCAGAGAGGCCTAAGGGAAAGGGGAAAACAATGTCTGCGTGACAACATAAAGATATAAGGTTCAGAGACACTTAGGGTGTAGCGAAGTTTGCCTCAGGATTTATCCGAGAAGTATCACCACCCGTCAGAAAGAATGAGCAGTGAGCTGTGCTCATCTCAGAGTGGGTGAAAGGAAATAAATGATCAAAGCTCCACTCTCTTTATGGCCATGTCAGGACCTAATGGTAGCCCTCACCTTATTTCTGACCAAGCAGAACTAGGAATGTTAGTCCAAATGATTTTTAAACACTTCGCAAACTTGGAAATAGAAGTTTTAAAAACTTGTTTAAACTAGTGGTCTTCAACTGTTGGTCCATGGACCAGTGGGATCTGCAGCTGCAGATAGGTTGAAAACAAAGGTCCACTACAGAGGTTATAACCAGTCATTTGACTGGTATGCAGACAGGTGCCAGTTGCCAATTGCGAAAAAGGCCAAAGGCTAGTTTAAATAATTGTGAGTGTGCATCCAGAAAATTCTCAGACTTCAAGAATGCTCCTGCTGCAGTTTTAGCTGTAGACTGCCCAAGCTCTCCATCTCCTCTTTCCCATCCTGAATCCCACTCTCTTTCAAAGCAGGTCAAAAGCAAATTCCATCTAGAATGAAACAATATGCTTCCCAAGATGAGATTATCATTAGTTAATGATAATATGCTTATATGTTGAATTAAGTTTACTTACTGTCCTCTTAGAGATGCTATACTCCGAGTCTCTTATTCTCAGAGAGCCTGGCAAGCTACTGAGAGTATCCCACCCACAAGGCAGAGCCTGACAAGCTACCCGTGGCGTATTCCTTATGCCAAAAACAGTAACAATGATGGGTCTCAATCCCTTGACCCTGAAAGATCCTCCAATACGGCAGAACTGGGAAGGACGAGAGGAAAGAATTTTAAAATCTCAGGACTGGGACGAATGGAGATGTTACTGGTGCCCGCTGGAGCAAGTCGATGAACAAGGGGATGACAGTGACAGTGACAGTGACTGTCCTCTAGTGAGACTCTACCAGCATGCAGTATCAGTGTCTCACAGAAGCTTATATAAAGCAGAAGGGATGACAGAAACCAACAATTTAAGTACGGCCTTAGAATTCTAATTGTTCACCAAACAAATGAAAATAGAAACAAAAGGTATATTTTTAAATCAGTTTTGTGCAGAGTTCAAGGAATCTCAGACACAAATGTGAAGAAAATTTACCGAGAGCCAATTGTACTTCTCAGGTGTTTTTTTTTTTTAAAATAGAGTTATAAAGAGTGTTCTAGGAAAAACTCTAGTACACTATACTGCAACTCAGTTATTGGATTTAAAATTATTTTTATGGGCAAAGTACCAATAAAGGGTTTAAAAGGATAATAGTGGAGGTGGTACAGAGAGATATTATAGAAGGTAGGGTGCCTTCCTTGCACGTGGCTGACTCAGGTTCGATCCCCTACACCATATACTGTTCCGAGCTCTGACTCAGAATGTCTCCCTGAGCCAGGGTTAAGCCTTGAGCACCAACAGATGTGGCTTAAAAGCCAACAACAATAAATAAAATAAAATAAATACATAAAAAGTGAAAAGATAATGGCTTCTCCTTGTCATAGGAAAAAACACTACATTTCATTAAATAAATAATACTTAAAATAGGATTGTTTTGTTGGTCAAAACACTTTGGATTTAAAGAAAAAAATAACCTAGTCTTAAAAGGATCTCCATGAATATAGCTGAGTAAAAAAGTAGGGCAGTCATAAAAGAATTTGCCAAGAACTCTATGATCTGAGTCCCTCATAAAAACTCATTAAAATAAAATCAAGACTGTTATCTCAGTTTATGAATAAACACAATCTGGAAAAGATAGTCCTTTAAAAAGAAGATTTACAAATGCCACATATATTTGTAATAACCTTCTTCCCTTTATATGAAAACAAAATTATAAAGATCATGGAGACTTGATGTAATTTATTTATAAGAAGTCCATACAGAATATAAGTGATATGTTGGAGGAGAAAAAAAAGAAAATGGTAGGAAAGAAGGATAGAAGGGGCGAAGGGAGAGAAAAGATAAAGAAGAAAGAAGGGAGAAAATAAGAAATATCATCAAGTTACAAAATCTTCAATGTGATAAATTTCCAAGGTTGCAACAATATACTAACAAAACAAAAGTCTCAAGAGAAAAAGTACAATCCAATTATTTTTTTAGGTAAAAATATTATGATGAGGATTTGTTTTATTGGTCAATATTGATTTGGGGGGTCCATTATTAAATATAAGCTTACTGCTCAAAAAAAAACAGACAAAACAAAACTTTATGGCAAATTAAAAAAAAACAGATATGCTGAATGGGTCTTAAAAAGGAGGCTCAAGTAGAAATTGCTGTCTTTCAAATAACAGATGATCTCACTTGTCTGTGGAATACAGAAAAATAAAGCAGGGGAATAGAGAGTAATAAATGATGGGAAACTTTTTGCAGAAGTGAAATCACCAAGTAGTGGAGGGAATGGGTTGAGGAAGGAAAAGGCAGACCAGAAGTAACATAAGGACAGTGGTGGAGGATTGGTGGCACTTTGGTGGCAGTGAAGGTTCAGTAACTTTATACATCAAAACTGTGAAAGTTAATACTTGTGTATCCATAGAAAAAAATCTCTCATTAGCTGAGTTAAACCAAAGTAAGACCAAACGTCATCACTAAGCATTTTCACTATATCACCTTGTGAATATTTTTCTAACTCAGATATTCATTAAGTACTCCTTTCTCCAGATTCAAGGCAAAAAAGGATCACTGCTCGAATACAGTAAGATTTTAAAAAAAAAGCGAGTTATCTGACTTTTGTTTGACTTTCTGATGAATATATATATATATATATATATTTTTTTTTTTTTCCCCTTTTGGTTTCTGGGCCACTCCCCTGGTGATGATCAGGGGTTACTCCTGGCTCTGGACTCAGGAATTACTCCTGGTGGTGCTCAGGGGCCCTGTGTTGTGCTAGGGATTGAACCCAGGTCGCCTACATCAAGGCAAGCACCCTACCCAGTGTAGTATCAACCAGGCCCTGACGAGCATATTTTTGGCGATTGTTATTTATGTTCTAGGTTATTTATAGTGATGTAAGGATTCTTTTAAAATAAGGCACAGATATATGTTGCTCTCCAATTGTCTTCCATGAAAGTGCACCAAATGAGCTATCTTAGGAAATGGACTAGAGGCACATTTTGCAGAGGTATATCTTTTTCAGCCTACTAGTTGCCTACAGATGGCTAAGCAGGGTATGGAACATGCTGTCATATTTCATTCATAACACACATGTACTGTAGCTCTAGGCAACAGATGGACAATCGCTTGTTTAAACTACAAATGTGAAATACTAAGGTAGAATAGCAATATTTCTAGAAATGTATATGGAAAAAAAGCTTTCCCAAGCCAAGAGGAATGGTGAGAGGCTGTGAGGTTACCCCAGTGTTTCCCTGATCTCTCTAGCAGCTGCCATAATTTCCCCAACACCCTTCAAAACTTGATAATGGGAGGATCAGGGGGCAACAGACACAGATTTGACAGGAGAAGCCCAAATCATATCAAATAGAAATAACACTGTTATTCCTGGCTGGTTCACATTTATTAGAATTTTTACTAAGAAAACTGCTGAGTTACGCTTTCAGAGTTTTGTTCGTATTTCATAAATCATCTACTATAGCCTCACAGTAAAAGTGCTCTCTCCTTTCCTCTGAATCCAAATATCAGAATTATAGGTTTAAATGTGCTTAGAGTATTATATACTTTATATATTATCATAAACTCTTTGTAGAACATTTCATAGTGACAGAACTATTACTGGGTTGATCACTCTGTTGCACTAATTAGCAGAAGTGCAAGAAACAGTCTTGACCAGAGAAGCTGTACCTACGGAAACAATACGTTTTTGATGACAAGAAAAAAACCCACATCTCTTTGAGCTGCAGACATTTTCTATATGTCAAAGTATGAATGCCTTATAGGACACAATGGAAAACTGAAATGGAAAGCAATTTTCTTTACAAATAGGAATTCATATGGTGTCAATATGAGTAGGGATTGAGACAACAAAATTTCTGTGGTTGAAATAATCTGCAGAGCTCAGAACATAGTGTTTTTTTCTCCCCTTTTTCTACATCTCTCATGCTACACAGAGATAGCCAATATTGGGTGTTTGACAAAAGTTTTAAGCCAGCACTTTTTTTTACAAACTTTGTTTTATAGACTCTGATTTATTTCCATTATTTATGTATTTAAATGATAACAGTCAGTACAATATATCAATAAACAATATAATTATAATCAATGCAATATGATCTTCATATCTAATATTGGCAAAATTTTGTGTTAAAAGTAAGAGTGATTTGGCATTGTTTAAACAAAGGATTAATAGAAAAAAACAAAAAGGCAATATAAGTCATATATTTAAGAAATCCTGGCATAAAATATTATAGGATCCATTTTCTTATACCTTGTGAAAGAGGAAAAAATCTAAATCTAAATATTTCTGCATATGTATGTGTGCACATTCATTATTATAAAAGTATAATAATTCTATATTAAAAAGGATATTTATTTAAAAATCTTTGGTAAAGATACTCTGAGGTTATGTGATAAAAATGCATGATAAGGATTGTAAGCAAGCAGTTTTCTGGCAATACCACAGTGATGGGTCTTTGATAGCATTTTCTTTGTGGGAGGGCATGTAAACATTCAGTTACATAAGGGCTTACATGTAACAAGCAAGTAGAATGTTACTGCATTTTTAGAGTATAAATATTTTATAAATTCTATGTTGGCAAATTTTGTAATAACATGGCTGCCCTTCAAGAGATAAAATCTATCTCTCAATAAACTGGGCTCTTAGCTTCTGCCCTAAAAACAATGTCTCCATGAATTTCATTGAAAACAAGTTACAAAACAATTCAGGCTGATCAAATTATCACCCCGATTCTCTAATAGTGTTCTTTGAGGTCAACAGTCTGATCTGGCCTTCATTTACAAGACAGAAATTCAGGAATGCAATTGCCATTATATCCTACAACCCACATGCTGCTCAAAGTCTATCTCACTGTATTTCACATTAAAAGAAAAAAGGTTAAAGAGAAGCATGGCCAGGTAAGAAAAGGACAGCGACTGCCAAAAAAAAAAAATCAAAGAACTTAGGTGGTTCTAGTAGTGATCAAAGTTAGTGAGTCACCATGATCTTCCATGAGCTATAGTATTCAATCACAGACTCAAGACTTTGTTATTAAAAAGATTTGAACCAGTTTTATGATTATTTCTATTAAAGCAATAAATTTAACTGGAATTCCTGAGACATGAGTTTTGATTCAAAACATGCACAAATAATGTTTCCCTTTCTTTCTGGGTATTAAAATTAAGAAGTCACACTAGAAAACTGTCACTTTAGAATCATGAAAAAGAAATTTGTAGAATCAAATAAACTATTTCTTATATTTGACTTCTTAAACTGGGTATTAATGCATATGCATAGTCTTTATATTATTATTTATACTTTTGTGGTTCTTTAAATATGTAAATTTTCATAATTTAAAAGCATATTCTTGTGGAAGATTTGAAGAAAGGTTGAAAAAAATGTCAAATCAAAATAATTTACAAAGTGGCAGATCTGCCATTAGAAAGGCATCTCTCTCTTAAAAACAAATATGCTAGAACCTAAAGAAATATAGTTCTATAGTTGGCAAGCAAGTATTTCACTGCCCAATAGAGTTTGAATAAAGATTCCAGGCAGAGATGCTGTATATTTTTAGCTCAGAAAGCTCATTTTTTTTTCAGTGATTGTCTTTTAAAGTGTGGTGTAAATGTCACATTGATGATATGAAAATGTCTCCTGCAATATGTAATTTGAGTTGCAAGAGGATTTACAACAATAATGAAACTGTGGTTTCACAACCTCTTGAAACTTTCATGTCTTCTTAAAGTAAACTAAACAATATCATACTGTTGATTTTGTATATTTGGTATGCATTGATTTGCAATTGTTAGGATAAAAGGACCTGGAGAAAAAAAAAGACTACAACCTAGTCTTTATAGTTATCTTCCTCTAAGAGAAAAAGCCAATTTTAGTGGTTATGTTTGAATATTAGAAAAAATATGGCAATATTTCTGAGATGAAAAATGGGATAGTATTCAACGTGTTTGTTTCAGGTAAAACTAGTTTGTCTTATTATGTCTAGGTAGTATGGAACATCTTGAGATAGCACAATGGCATAATGGCTTTTCAAACACACCCCTAAGATGCTTTTTCTCGCAAATCCCACATTTATTTGTCTATCTTGGCTTTCCAAGCAGAACTCAAGGGGCAGACAGACCGCTCCAAGAGATAATCTGCCTAATAGGCCAGAGCGTTTGACTCTCAGGCCAGGCAGTGTGGTGCTACTGGGGCCCCTGTGATGTTGGGGGCCACCAGTACCACAACCAGCAGTGACTGAGGGCCCCGAGGGGCTGGGCATCAGGCTTGAAACTTTCTGCTGCAAGACGGGTTCCTTCAGTTGAGCTATCACCCTGGCTCCAATCCCATGCAATATTTTAAAAACAAAATTGGAGCTAGTTCTGTTGCAGAGATTTCTGCTTTCAAATAGGCCTGATTGCTGGTTGCTATAAATCTTAACTGTGGATGGTTACAAATTAAATTTGGGCTAGCCTTAATCTATTCAATATACAAGTAAAATTATTTATGGCTTGAAATGTAAATTGTGCTTTATATTCCGCCCTCCCCACCAGGCACATGACCAATTGAAAGCAACAGAAATTGGTTTTTAATAGAAAGAACAAAGAATGGCTAGCTTTTGTGATGACAGGCAATGTGGCAGGGACTAGATGGAGCCTTCCGGGCCAAAAGCACCTGTAGTTTGGCAGACTCCCCCAGGAAAAAGTGTATGTATGATAGCAAATATCACACTAAAAACAGCCATTCAACCAGATGAAAAGTGAGAAAAACACAGGTATTAAAAGTTTTAGGAATGCAGAAGTGAATGGGATGGAGCATAATCTGTGCAAAAATGTGGAAGTCCCTGGGAATAAAGACCTAGCCAAGTCCTACAGAATTAAATGTGAAATGTGCATTTGGTAAGAACTTAAAAGAAATCTTATAACCTATGTATTTCTAAAGAAAGGTTAGTAGTAAGTGAAGAACGGAGTCCATCCCATAGGTTGACTGCCTTCCTCTATTTTCCTATTTCTTTTGCTTTCTGTTTCCCTTGTGTTTCTTGTCATTTCAGTGCCACCACTACCAGCTAGCCAGGTGACTGAACTTAAAAGTCAGTGCTGGGCTTGGCAGTAAGCATTCTGATGCGGGCGCTGTTGCAGGTCTTGCAGAGAATATGCCCATCCAGAGGGTAGCAGCCTTGGTTATCCCCTTCAGACAGAAGGCCACCGCAATCCTAGAAAATGAAGACAAAACAATGTAAGCAACAAGATATACTACAAGGGGAAGAGGAAATTCCTTAGCTTCCCACTCCGGGCTTCTATAAACAGGCCATTTACTTTTGTCTTTTATTTACATGGATCACCAACCTGCTTCCCAGTAGGTAGTATGGTATGTTTGGAGTTAAGATGAATTGGAGATTAGGGTAATTAATATAGACAGAGAAAATGGTCCTAATAAATACTGTATAAAAAATATAGTTACAAGGATAGAAAAAAAAACCCAATGGTTTAGGTTACTAGATATTTTCTGAGTCTTCTTATCTATACAACTGCTAAAACAATGGAAACAAAGGGAAACCAAGCAAGAATAGATCCCTAACTGAATTCATCTTTACCCTTCATCATTAGTAAGCCTCTGTTAAAAGGAATCTGAATGGGGCTGGAGCAATAGTACAGCGGGCAGGGCATTTGACTTGCATATGGCTGAGCCACATTTGATCCCTGGTATCCCATATTGCCCCCTGAGCCCACCAGAACTGATTCCCGAGTGCAGAGCCAGGAGTAAGGCCTGAACAACAAATGGGTTTGGGCCCCCCAACCGAATAAGTAAGTTAGTAAATAACTAAATAACTAACTAAATACATCAGATATAAAATTGTAGGGATGGAATTGTTTGGCCACTTTTGGGAAAACGTAGGGATAAAATTCTGTTTAATAGTGGGGGCATGGACAAGTTCTGAATACTTATCCCAATTGGTTTTAGAAAGGAAAATCTAAAATTGTGGAGAGCAAGGATTTGTTGGACTTTCTCCAGTAGGTTATGTGGTATTTAGAAATGAGCACTGAATGAAAGGGAGGGCTCCTGGGCATTACTGGGCATTTAGTTAAAACCAAAGTTTTAACACGGCATAGGTCACTGTGGTTAAGGCCAATAGCCACTTAAAAATATCCCTGCATTTTCTATCTAAACCAAGATATTAGAATGATCAAACAGGATAAATGGCATAAATATATTTCAAATAAATGCAAAGGTCTACCTAACTGTGAAGAATAATACAACTGTTGATAGTAACTCTAAGGGTCCATTTAGCAAAGTGTTTCCATTTTGGAAATTACACTTAAATGCCTGCCATTGCCTTTGGACAAAATAGAATTATTTTTAGCAAGGAAAACATGATGGTGTAAATACTAGTAGAAAATCCTTTTCAAGATCACAACTGTTACATGCCTGGACACAGGTCTGTCTCTGACAAATAATGAAATTTAAGATCAAACAGAGTCACCAAAATACAATAGCAGAAGCAACTTTACTGTGAACAGGGAAATATTTTGCAGCTCTAGAGGCTATCAGGAGAATGAATGATAGAATTAAATAAAAACTCATAGAAAATGGAAAATTTCATAAATGTCATGGCTCTGAGTTTTTAATGAGCTAATGTCTGTAGTCACCTGGGTATTCCAAAAAGTTCATGGTCAACCACAGTGTTACAACCATGGAAACCTTCGATATTAGCAGCTCAAATGAACCACATAGTGGCATCTAATACAACCTCTTCACTTTAGAAATGAAGGCAGAGAGGAAACAGGTTTGTCCTGTGATACAGGGTTGGACTAATTGGTAGGACTAAACAATAGTCTACTCTCTTCTCAGTTCTTCCTATTCCATAGTGCTGTTTCTGTAATGGCGTTTGCCTTGCACATGGCTGACAGGGCTGACCCAGGTTCGATTCCTCCGCCCCTCTCAGAGAGCCTGGCAAGCTACCGAGAGTATCTTGCCCACAGAGCAAAACCCGGCAAGCTCCCTGTTATGTATTCAATATGCCAAAAACAGTAACAACAAGTCTCACGATTTGTTGTGAGACATTACTGGTACCCGCTTGAGCAAATCGATGAACAATGGGAGGACAGTGCTACAGTGCTACAGTGTTTCTTTAAAAAATTGCACACTTTTTAAAGTGAACATACTGCTATTATTTAACAGAATTAACAGAATTATTTAATAATTGTATGAGGACAAAAAGGCACATTTTAGCACAAAAATAAAACCATTAAAAACTTAAAGCCCAATGGTATGGATACCAAGTGTATGAAGAAAGTTGGAAGGTCTTGCTTCTTTGAACTCCTAATGTAAAATGATCTGTAAAATATCTATTATGATTCACTTGACTTTTTTTATGTTTGTTTTGGGGTGATACCCAGCCAGTGACAGGGCTTATTCCTGGCTCTTCACTCATGTATCATTTCTGCCAGGGCCATATGACAAGCCCAGGATGGAACTCTAGATGTCTGCATATTGCTCTAGCCTGGTTCAGTTTTCAGGGTGATGGGTGGACAGTATTGTTTCTGTTAGTAATAAAAACTTGTGTAAAATTTAAATGTTGACTCATTCAATATTATTTTTTCTTATAACAGAAAGAGACATTCAACTTCAACAGTACAACAATAGTACTGCATAAAAGGGGATGTCAGTTAAATCTAAGACACGGTGGAATGAAGGTAGGGTTGGGAGATACTCTGTCTTTCCCACTAGCCTGTGTTTTAGAAAAAGTTTCTTTTTAAAAAATTTAATTGGGGGCCATGCCCAGTGCTCAGTGATCATTTCTGGCAGTTCTCGGGGGACCAAACATGGGTGGCCTGCATGCAAGACAAACTCCTAACCTGCTGTACTATCAGTCTGGTCTCAAAAAAGTGGTTCTAGCGGGACCACATGAGCAAGTCTCACTGGGATGTAACAATAAGGGAGTTCAGGCTACACCTTTCAGAGCAGAGAACTGAAAATAGAGGCACCAAGAAGGAACAGTAGGAGGAAAGAAAGCCATTCAAAAGAAGGAACTGGAAAAAAATCAGCTTTTGAACCTCAGATTATGAGAAAGACTTGTTGCCATCTATTGAATTAACACCACCTGGCCTTCCCACAAGAGCACTTCCTTGTCAATTTGAGAATTACAGGTGTCTTTTATGTATCCCATGGTACTTTGCGTTCATAACTGCTACTGCTTTTAGCAGTCATCTGACTTACTCTCTAAGTGCTCAGGTAGTGCTTGCTAAATTAATGGATCTCCATTATCAGACTATGAACACACATTTCCAAGCCTATGAAGAGAATGGATTCTTATTCTTCTTAATGCATGATAAAGGTGTCCTTGCCCCCTAACAAAGTTAAAGATTCAACATAAAAATAATAAACAATAGCATAATTTTCAACTAATGTCATGGTCGATGATCTACAATGTCATTACATAGACCATTTTTTTTTTTTGCTTTTTGGGTCACACCCAGCAATGCACAGGGGTTACTCTTGGCTCTGCACTCAGGAATTACTCCTGACAGTGTTTGGGGGACCATATGGGATGCTGGGAATCTAACTTGGGCTGGCCGTTTGCAAGACAAATGCCCACCCGCTGTGCTATCGCTCCATCCCCCAATAGACCAATTTTTATTTAACTTCTGCAACTGTATTTGAACCATACTTGGGCATATTAGAAGAACGAAGAGTGCCTTGAGATGTAGAGAATTTGAGACCAAAAAAAATGACTTATCCAACATCACTACCACTTAATAAAATGAAATGTTCACAAGTATAAATTAAAAAATTTAAAAAAAATTTGTGCAACTGACATTTTTGTGTCAGTGGTCTTAAGATGATGTTAATGGTCATGTCATACTTAAAATCCAGATTCTTTGAACATAGGCACATTAATGGTGGTCTCATGTTCCTGTTCCTGTTTATAAAACCCCAACTTGAAAGGGCTTTGAATTGCTTGCCATGCCCCGGTGGATGTGGTGTACTGATTACAAACCTCACAGCGATAGCATTGAACATGGAAATCACGATCCAGAGCCACAATTCGAATAGTCTCCTCCTCGCCTGGGGCAGGCATAATGGGCTCCTTGCACACGGAGCATCGGGGAGCGAATTTCCTGAAAAAATAAAAAAGAAGACATGATTCTGGTGAGACACAGAATACAGCCAACCAACAAAGAGATGAGGCACAGGCATGACAAGAATGGTATGCAGAGACTCCGAAGGCATTTGAATCTCCTTGTATGACTTTCCTGTGCCATTTTCCTTCTCTGGATCTGCTTCCGATGCTGTGTAATAAAGAAGTTAAACATGGTGATTGTTGATGTTCCTTTAGACAATAAATATTGTGATATCTGGGGAGTGGGGGAGTGGTCAAGTGGTATATGCATGGAGAGTCTCAGAAGCTTTTCACAAGTCAGAAAGCTGCGTGGTCCAGCAGGAGTGATAGTACATCAAAGCAGGGTGGGGAGGGGGGAAGGAGTGATGGTGGTATAGGGCATTTGCCTTGCATGCTGGCCTGGGTTTGTTCCTGGGCATCCCATATGGTTCCCCAAGAACCGCCAGGCCTCCAGGAATAATTCCTGATTGCAGAACCAGGAGTAAGTAACCCTTGAATGTTGCAGGTTGTGTGCCCCCACACATACCCCAATCCTTCAGGAAAAAAAAAGGAAAAACAAAAGCTGCATCTGTGGTTACAATTGGTAACCCCAGGTAGGGCAGGCTACTGAGAGGGAGGAACACAGGTCCTATGTCCCTTTCTAGCTTCTGACATTCACCATAAAACTTTTGTACATGTGACCCAAAACCTCCCATGAAGTATGGAAATTTTGTAGGTCAGGTTCGTGAGGAATATTTTGTGGTCAGGAATTCTGCCTCATATTCACCTAATGAGAGCCATTTTGAAAAATAGCTCGAATCCGAGGAACTAACACAAGAAAAGTCAATGATCTCTTTTGTTTCTTTCTTTCTTTTTAGTTTGGGAGCCATACCCAGCAGTGTACAGGGTTTGTTCCCTGCTCTGTGCTCAAGGATGAGTCCTGGCAGTGCGTAGGGTACCATAAGTGAGTGATGCCAGATGGAATCAGGTGGTGGCTACAGGCGAAGCAAGTGCCTTGAACCCTGTGCTATTTCTCCTGTCCCTCAAATCTCTCTTTTTAGAGTTAACAGGTTCAAATATTTTTATACCAAACAGAATGGCCAAGCTTGCACATTTTACATTTTGACTGTGTTCAACTTTTGCTTGAAAAGGGAAAATAAAAAAGCTGTCGATTGGTTAATATTCTGAATTATTTCAAGACTCCCAAAAGCTATGAATACATGAACACTTACATGTATATGAGTAAATTTATGTTTTCAAGGTTAATTTTGTTCACAAGGACCATACCCAGTGGTGCTAATGGATCCCTGTCATGGCAGAAATGGCTTTGCACATGCTATGTATTTGCTCTACTACTTGACTCTTGGCCCAGAATTTAACTATTTCTTAACCTATTAATACTCCTGTGACTGATGGCCCTAATAGTATTTTTTCCCCCTCAAAACAGATTAATAGGCTAGAAATCTAGGCCATTTCTCCATCTGTATCTTCTTCATATTCTGGGTAGCATTTGTGAAGGTGTGAAATGAGACATGATTTGAAATGGACATGGATAGGAAGTGAAAATATTAAAAAAATAAAATCAAACTGTGCAACTCAGTTTTTTTTATGGTAATGGTTTTAAGATTAATGATGTTAAAATTTATCTATTTGTAGTGAGACTTAAAAAGGAATAATGATAGTAATCTAATACTTTGCAAAGCACTTTATGGTTGTCAAAGCATTTTTACATACATTATACTCTATATGTACATATTAATTTTCCTGGCTGCACCCAAAAGGCATCTGTATGGCTGCAATCTAAATAAATATGAATTAAGCAGCAGATCAATTGATTGCTATGAAAGAAAAATTAAAAGGATCATGGTACAACTGCTGCAGTAATCAAAGTTGTTATAATTGGTATTTTATGCAAGAAGTTTATACTTAGTGGCAAAAAAAATTGCCTTGGACTACCTGATTATTTTTGAATCTGGGTCATCAGCAGCAAAATAAGCAGGCTTCTGGAATCAACTGCAAAACTTCCTTTCCCAAACACTGGGAATAGAGTCAGTAAGGTTAGACGTAAGTCTTGCCTTTCACTTATATTCATAAACCTTCTCTAATATCCGAGTAGGATATTTACTCTTCCAGAGTAAATATATTTCATTGAATTTGCCATCCTCCTCACCCCCTCTTTATTGGTGGGTGGCAAACCCGGCGATGCTTGGGGGTTATTTCTGGCATTGCACTCTGGAATTATTCCTGGCAGTGCTCAGAGGACCAAATGGGATGCTTGCATCAAATCTGGGTTGGCCACATGCAATGCAAATGTCCTACCTGCTGTACTATTGCTCTGGCCCCTCATAGGATTTGTCTATTTTAGCAGGTTTTATTTTCATACCTTTAGAGAGCACGAAATGATGGGCTTCTACTGGACAGGATTCACTCCTTATCTGAGTCTCTAGAAACAACCTCTCTTTAGTGAGTAGATAGGCAATATCTAATAAAATGAAGCCCCTATAATGTTTATCTCTTTAAGGGATGTTTATTGGCCATTATGCCAAATCTTAAGGGCCATGCTCTTTGGAAAGCCAGGAATTCTTTCTGTTTCCTTTCTACCAACTGGCCTCAGTTACACAATGGGAAAATGCAAAATGAAGAGAAAGGAAGTGGTTTCCATAGTCCCCATAGTGTTCCTTGGCCTGCATTTCAAGGGTTGTTAAAACTTCTAGAGGTTAGATTGTCATAATTGAGGATACGCATAGATATACCAGACAGCTCTAAGGCACTAGGGTAGACTTTATGAGATCATTAAAAAATTCATCTGAGGATCAGAGAAAGTGCTCAAAGGCCCCAAATCCAAAACCAAGGTCAAAACAGGTCCAAATGGAAATTATTTATGTCAAGCCTCCTCCACCGCCTGCACCTGAAGACTTATCATCTTCCTAACTTTAGCTTTAGCTTCTCACAAGAGTATAAATCTATTTATTTACCTATTAGTTTTAGGACCAAATGGGATGGTATTTGGCCATTATGTTTGGGTCTTTGTTCCCAGAAATGCACAGGGAGCCAAGTAGTGCCATGGATAGAACATAACTGTCATTCAAAGCATGCTTCTTAGCCCCCAAATGTGACTTTTCTAGCTTTCTTCTCACGAGTTCTCTCTTTTTTCTTGGTTTTGGGTTCAATCCAATGGTGCTTATAGCTTACTCCTGGATCTGTACTCAGGGATCATCCCTGGTGGTGCTCAGGTGTGCCAGGAACTGAACTCATGTTGGCCATGTGCAAGGTAAGCGTACTACCCACTGTTCTATCTCTCTGGCCCTATTATCTCATGATTTCTGGGTTTACACTACTGTAAACAGAACTAATACTTGATAAGATTTTAATCTTCATAAATTGATACTTTGATGTGTTCCAACATGTCTCTGCTTGAAAATGCTCTACATGAATTTGTGAAGTATGTATTTTGTGGGAAATAAAGTGCTATATATTAAGCCCTTCTCTTCTAATGTGTCTTTTATGTACAGTTCCTTGATTTTTTTGTTCCTTTTGTTTGTTGATTTTCTGCTTGGATGATCTCTCCCATTGTCCTGTGTGTGGTATTACAGTTCAGTTCCCTAATATTATTATGCTGTTATTAATGAATGTTTTCTTTTATGAATATTAATAATAGTTGCTTTATATGAAAAATTCTAGGGGTTCTTTTTCAAAAATCATTTCTCTGAGAATATAATACCAACAACAGTAAATGTGACTGACATTTATTGAGTGTTTATTATGTGCTGAACCTTGATAGACACCTTACAAACTTGATCTTATTTTCTAATGACAACAACATTATGAAAAAATACCTTTATCATTTATACTTCACAGCCATGGTGCCAAGTTTTGGGGAGGGTGGTCTTAATCATTTTCTGGCAACAAACAAGTGGAAGCTTATTCAACAAATAAATGTAGCACCGTAGCACCATCCTCCCATTGTTCATCAATTCGCTCGAGCGGGCCCAGTAACATCTCCATTGTAAAACTTGTTGTTACTATGTTTGGCATATCGAATACATCACAGGTAGCTTGCCAGGCTTTACCATGGGGGCGAGATACTCTTGGTAGCTTGCCGGGCTCTCCGAGAGGGGCGGAAGAATCGAACTTGGGTCGGCCATGTTGGCTGCTTGTAAGGTAAATGCCCTACCGCTGTGCTATTGCTCCAGCCCAACAAATAAATGAATGAGTGTAATATTTTCAACTGAAATCTTCAATACACTTGAAAGGGTCAGTGAGAAGTCACATTTCAGGGCTCATTGTTCTGGCACTAGGAATAAAGAAATAAACTAGGATTCCAATAATCATATTGGAGGTGAAAGGTTCTATATAGTTCTTATTTTATTAATTTATCTATATATATTTATCACAAAAATGATTTAAGGTGGTCATGGTAAATGTTTATATGTGACTGGGTATTCTTTGTTAATAAGAAGCCTATCTACAGTCAAGTGACAAAATGCTGCAAAATACAGAGAAGACAAAAAATCTAAACATGGGGATATGGAGAGGTGTATTTCAGAGTTATCTTAGAGAAGATGGCAATTGACTTGAGCCTTGAGAGATGTAATTTTAGGTAAAGTAAGAGAGTAAGTGAGGTAGATAAATTTGGAGGCGGAAAAAGGTGAAGTGAGAGGGGAGAGTGGACGAGAAAGGGAAGGGAGACAGGGAAAGAGAGATAGGGTGAGGGTCATGGGAACTAGGCTGAACAGTCATTTGGAATGCCATGGGAAAGACCTACACATTAGGTTAGAGGGTTTAAATGAACACTGGTGGATGATGGCTATCCATGGGATGGTTATGTTGATGTCATTATCAGGTCCTTAAAAATGTATTTCAGTATGAGCCGGTGGTGACAGGGCAAATGCAGCCTCATAGGGTGGAGGGTGGAACTGGCACATCCTTCATGCCCTACTGAGGTCACAAGTTGCCCCCCCAAGAGTGGCTTTCTGGCACGGCCATGGCCCCAGAAGCACATGGACCTAATTCAGAACCCAGTTGCTTGCGGCAGAAATTTGAATGGTCTATGCATTAAACTACGGTGCCATGCCCCCCCCCCCCCCGCCCCAGCTAAATATGAACCAGCCGGAGGTGACGGGGCAACTTCAGCCTCATGGGAAGGGGGCAGAACCGGCACATCCTTCATGCCCTGCCAAAGCCACGAGTTGCCCCCAACAAGCGGCTCTCCAGCATGGCCCAGAGGCACACAAACCAATATCATAATTTTCCGGCTTTGGGCAGAAATCCCTCCAGACTTAATTAGCAAAATATCAGAAATCCAAAATCCATCATATCATATGGTCTTCATAACCAGCAAGAGACAACAAATTATTTCACAATGCCTTTTCAGCAGTTCTGATTGTTGGGGGGAAATTCCAAATTATAATGGTCCATTTTTTCATCGAAATAATGAATGTAATCAAAGTTGAGAGAGAGTTAAGTAGAAATCATCTGCCTCACAGGCATCGGGAGGGTGGGAAAGGGGGGTATATTGGGGCTCTGGGTGGTGAAAAATATGCACTGGTGAAGGGATGGGTGTTTGATCATTGTATGACCAAGACTTAAACCTGAAAGCTTTGTAACTTTTCTCATGGTGATTCAATAAATAAATTTTTTAAAAAATGTATTTCAGAAGCAGGTTACTCAAAGTGCATTCCCCAAGCCCCTGCAACTCATCAGAAATTACGAATAGTTGGCTTGACCCCACATTTGCTGAACTAGACCCCGGGTGACCTATGAGCACTTGACTGTTTGGGAAGCGCAAGCAGGTACCAAGCATGTGAGAGAAAACCTTCTCATGGACCTCCTGTATCTCACCATAACCTCCATTCCCAGGCTGCTCCTGTTACAGCCTCATGGATCTTCTTTGAAGGGAGAGAAGTTTTGGGAGAGCTGTTTCTTTTGCTAGGAATCTCCAGGTTTCCCTCTTAAAACACTTTTCAAACGTTGCTTGCAGATGCCTGCCCAGACACCAGGGTCAAGTACTCTGACAGCTTAAGCCTTTGCCAGGTGAGGTTTGTTGTCTTTGCCCGGTATCACCTATTTCCTGCACTTACCCTCTTTCTTTTCTGGCTAGATCCTTGCTGACAGGGGTTTTTCACAGCATATCTATGCAAGTTTTCTTCTTGCATCTCTCTCTCTCTGTTCGCACTTAAGACATAAGTGGCATACAGAGGACACTGTAGATAATGACGTTTAAAGGCATTTCCTAAAAACTCACATATTCATAATGACCAAGAATGAGGACCCCGAAAAACTGTCATCAGGAGACTGTATTCCCGCATCTACCATCTCCTTAGCCATGCAGTGCCCATTTTGATGTGAACATCAAGTTGTTTTTTCCCCCCTATTCCTCACAAGGCACTCAAACAGAGTTCTGTCAATTTTCTCATTTTTTTCCTTTGTAGAAATGGAGAAAATATTAAAAAAAAATATTCCCCCCCCTACATACCTGCCAATCATACAGACATTATTTTTTTAAAAAAAGTTTGTGATTTAACATGCTGTTGAATTAGTGGGGTACAGAATTGGGGATTTAAGATTATTTTTTCCTTTTAGATGCTCAAGTCTGCTTTTCTGGAGCTTTCAGACCCACACACTTATGTCACCAGTTGCCACTCTCTAATTATTCTCCCCACTCCTGGAAATGAAAGATAAATGGCATAGATATAAACTTACATTTGTCAGTATTGATTTCCTGTTTTAATTGAGGGGTGTAATATATCAGTCTTTTCCAGCAAGGGAAACATGTGTGCTCTGATTATATCTATCAGTCTTTCTTAGATTAGGATAAGTCTAAGAAAGGAGACAAACAGTGACAGAAACACACTCCCCATTGGTATCTTTTCACGTTCCTTAAATAGATGCAGGTTTTTTTTTTAATGTGTAATTACAAGCTAAAAATATCAATAACGTGAAGTACAATTTATGCTGTGACTGCCCTTTCAAAGTGAGCATTTCTAATACAAGTTGAGAATTTCTGCCTCTGGGTTTTTTTTGTGATTAAAAAGACATTCATTCAGACTCCTGTCTTTTGTGTGGTTTTCAAACTTTCTTGCTCCTTAGAGAGTGGTCATAAAATTCATCTTTAAAATGAATCTCTGGTCCACAATGCTTATGGGAAGTACCTCCTGGTGGTTGAACATCAACAGAATAGTGAAAATTAACCCACACAAGTCAGCGCTTTTGAAAACCATAGTGAGGATAGTTAACATTAGGCTTAGGCCTGGAGTAATTGTAGAGCATTACAGGGTAAGGAGTCTGTCTTACAGCTAAGCTTGATTTGATCCCTGGAACCCCATATGGGTCTTTGAGCCCTATCAGTAGTGATCCCTAATCACATAGACAGGTATAGGCCCTGAGGAGATCTGGGTATGCACCGGCAACCCAAAACAAGGGATACTCATATTGGTGAGCTGTAAGAGTTCCATCACTTTAAGAAACTCAGATTGTCCTCAGAGTCACTGCTCAGCAAACACAAGTAAGGAAATCTTCAAGACTACTGTTCAAGAGTCACATCTAGAGCTTTCAACTCATAGTTCCTAAAAATATGGAAAAAATGTGATGGATTCATTAACAGATGAGCTAACAGGCCAAATGAAACATAAACAAATACAAAGTTCTATGTTTTTCCATGAAAATCCCAGCTATTATAAAATTCATTGATTTGCTCGAACGGGCACCAGTATTGTGAGATTTGTGGTTACTGTTTTTGGCATATTGAATATGCCATGGGGAGCTTGCCAGGCTCTGTCGTGTGGGTGGGATACCCTTGGTAGCTTGCTGGGCTCTCCAAGAGGGACGAAGGAATCAAACCCGGGTTGGCTGCATACAAGGCAAATGACCTACCTTTGGTGCTCCAGCCCAAATGTAAATAATTTATTTAGTTAGGAAATGTTCTAAGTCAGACAAGGGAAGAAGTTAGGGGAAGTTGTGAATTTGATACCAATAGCATGAAGCTTCTTGAGAAAAATATAAGGGACTGAATTGTCTCCTCTGTCTTCCACAAGCTCCTATTTGTATAATAGTAGAGAAGTAGAAGTCTAGCTGTAGTGAGCTTGCCTATAGATGAAACTGAAGAGCTTAGAGACATTGAACAGTGCCACACGTCTTGTTCTTATTAGGCCTAGGAATATTACCACAGGGTCCTGCCTTTTTACAATACACACATTTTATGGTTGGGTCTACTTTATCGGATAGACTCAAGATAGCATGAACATGCCCATGAAACCCTGGAAGCAGAGAGCAGACTTGGAAGCACATACTTCATCTTGTATTGAGCCCCATGTTTCATAAAGGGATAAATAAATTTAAAGGTGTTTGTGTTTGTGTGTGTTGTGTGTGTGTAATAGAATTCTGAATCTCAGATATGCAAAGCATGCAATCCACAAATGAATTTGGGGTGAGGGTTCAGCAGTGTCAAGGAGCAACTTCCTGCTCTGTGCTCAGAGGACCACGTGATGCTAGAGATTGAACCACAAGCAAAGCAAGTGTCTTAACCTCTTTCTTATCTCTCTGGCACTGAAGATGAACTTTGTATATGATCTCATTAAATTCTGAGAGCCTACGTGAGAAAGGGGACTCTATGAACTAGATTCCAAGCTAAAATAGAGTTCAAGAGAACAGGGATTTTGGAAGAATGAGAGTCAACTGCTTACTTGTGGAAATCTTCAATGCAGTGGATAAGGCCGCCAGAATCGATGGTGAATGGAATCCCATCCAAGCAGCGGTGGCACATCACACAGGTAAAACAGTGAGGATGATAGGCCTTCCCAGTGGCACGAAGAATCCTCTCCATGATGGGCTTGGAACATACACTGCACTGCTCCAGGGTGCTCTGGGGAAGAATGAAAAATATAAACGTTAGGCTGGGATCTGAGGAGCTCCCTTTGCATAACATAGCACAACAAGCACCTTCACAGCACACATTGGCCCTTCTGCTTATCTTACCACTCAGAGAGGGGCAGAATGTCTGCTTTATTATAGAGAAGAAAACACATTGCAGTGAATCAAGTGTCATTTCTAAGGTCACACAGGGCAGAGGTGACTGATTAATAAGATTAATAATATGTTTTCTGAATTCTATCTTTTTTTTCCTTCCACCACATTAGGTGCAAACACAGAGTAAATATTTCTGATTTTTTTCCCAACAGCTCAGTTTTGGTTTTGGATCATGAAGGTAGTCATAGACACTCTGCAAACAGTGGATATGAACATGCTCCCATAAAACCCTATTTACAACAGCAGGTGATAGGATGGATTTTAGTTCACGGATGCAGTTTATTGACCCCTGAACTATGTAACTCATGATTTCTACTTAAGAATGCCACCTTTATTTGTCAAATTTGATTTATCAGCAAAGACCCACTGGGGTCACCAAGTTTCCTACTATTTTAGAGTGATCTATCTGATAAATAACACTCAGAGACCATAGAGCCTGTAGAACTCAATACAAATTTGACATATTTGGTGGGGTTTTGATCATATAAAACCTCTAACACCACCTCCAACTTTAGGATTATAATTTTAACAGAAATGTTAAACATAGAGAAGGTCTAACTTTAAAAAATGAATTGAGAAAATAAATGTGTCTGACCTTAAAACGATACTGAACTTAAAAAATGTATTCCTTGTTCCTCTGAAACGAAATACTATTTATTTAGTTAGGACTCAGAGAGATGAAATTGCTAACTTTCCATCTTTCTTTAGAATTTCATGCTGTATACAAAAGCAAGTCTCACATAAAATACAATATGTTCCAACTGTGATGTGTAGACTAACAAGAGTTTATCAGCTGTATAAATCTGTAATGGAAGCATGCCTGATTAGAAGGTTCCAGAACTGGAAGGAATGTGGATATTAAATGGTATTGCCTCTTAGTATGAGAATTCTAATAAGAAGTGCTGTCGTCTTACTTAAAACAAAGGTGTTTCATTGACTTTCTTACTGGACATCTGTCTCCATTGTAATACTTCCCTAATCTTGAAGCAATTCCCAATTTTCCTCACAAAAACAGATATGAAAATATAAATTTTCCTGCTCTAAACAACATATGATTCCACAAGGTGCAAAGAGTTGGCTCTTTATCTGACACTAAATTTTCCTGACTTGGCTCAGATTTTCTTAATATCTCATACAGTTCAGTCTTGATTATCCCCTGAGAAAATTCTATACTTCTCTTCTTGCTAGCAGAGAAACAGCCCAAAGTTATATCTCCACATACTTAATATTCACTGTTTTGCATTTACATCTACATATCTACTAGACTTCAGTTTTTTTTTTCACTTTTTTGTTTATGGGTCACACCTGATGGTTCTCAGAGCTAACTCCAGGCTCTATGCTCAGGGATTACTCCTGGGAGGGCTCAGGGGACTGACCATTATGGAGTGTTAGAGATCAAATAGGGCTGGAGCGATAGCACAGTGGGTAGGGCGTTCGCCTTACAAGCGGCCAACATGGCCGACCCGAGTTCGATTCCTCCGCCCCTCTCGGAGAGCCCGGCAAGCTACCGAGAGTATTCGATATGCCAGACACAGTAACAACAAAGTCTCCAATGGAGACGTTACTGGGCCCGCTCGAGCAAATCGACGATCAACGGGAGGGCCTTTACCTTTTTACCTTTAGAGATCAAACATGGGTCAACTGCAGGCAAGGCAAATGATCTACCCACTGTACTGTCACTCATGCCCCTTGACTTCAATTTCTTCACTATCAGGAACTATGTCTTAAAAATGTGTTTCTTTATTCTATACGATACTCACTATACTACCTAGAGTACCAACAAGCCCAGGATGAAATGTGCAAAAGAATAAATGATGTTAATCATTTACAATTTACTGGGGCAGTACAGTACTGGGCCAATTCTGCAATCCATTCCCGATGAACTGGTAAATCCATCACCGTCCTTCCCTCCAAGCTGCGGTTGTCAGAGGTTCTGAAATCACTTAGTACGCCTCTGGTCACAGTCTAAACTCATGTAAAGTATTAACCTATTTTTTTTACTCCTCATTTTGAAGTGGTGAAATTAAAATAGCAGAAGAACACAAGATGAGTGTTTAGAAATGACGATGGTCTGGACAATGAGGACTCTGCCTTTTTCCCATCCTAGCAATATGAGCTAACGTGGCTAGAGACTGTCTTCCCAAGGCTTGTGTTTTGCTTCTCTGCGGGTTTTAACTTTTGTTTTTTAAGCAAGCTTGTAAGGAAGTAGAAAAAACCAAAATAGCACTTCACCAGAAAATATTTTTGTTTGTATAGAGGTTAGACCATTTACTCAAAACTCACAACATTATATAAGGTTCTTAGTTTAAGGGAAGATTTTTGGGTCTATGGAAGCACTATTCAAAAGACAGGTAATCTGAACATTGATGCTATAAGGGAAAATCAATATAAGATATGTCTAATTTTAAGCCATTGCAAATGTTTGCACATCACAAATATAGTCATGAATATAGTTAACTAGCAGTGTGGGCTAGTGATGGCAGAGGGCATCTTAAGATTTTCTCGTTACGCACCTTACTGTAGTCTTCCCTTTTAGTTTCTAGCTGGTCCGCTAGGTCCCTGATCCACTAGGACCCCTGCCATTTTTGGAGAAAGGATAGAGACTCTCACAGTGTCACAAAAAACAATGGGACTTTGTCTAAGTCTTTGTTTTCAACAGGTGAAAGAACAGGCCATGGACAGGGAGAGAGTGGGACCCAAGTTAGGGAGTTGAGTAGACCTTGAGGAAGGCCTGCTATCTGAGTGTAATAACTGCCAAGGATTTAGAGAGAGATTTGGTTAAATATTTTCTGTAGGCTGAAAGAAGGAAATTTGTTTGATGAAGTAAATGACTTGGTTTTCTATTGATAATTTCTTCACCCGATATCTCAGTATTTCTACTTGAAAAACAATGATAAATTCTGGCTGTAATTTTATTACTCTGTGATAGATAAGTATGAACAGGAAATAGTCTAGATATATATTAGAAACAACTGGATAAACCCTCATCTAGGTCTTGCAAAGAAAATCTATGTTAGAAATCTGAACACTATTTGGAGTTAAAGAAATTGCTACTCATAGAATTTCAAGGATCACTTAGGAAGAACTATGTCCTTCCTTCCTTCCTTCCTTCCTTCCTTCCTTCCTTCCTTCCTTCCTGCCTGCCTGCCTGCCTGCCTGCCTGCCTGCCTGCCTGCCTGCCTGCCTGCCTGCCTCCCTCCCTCCCTCCCTCCCTCTGTCCCTCTCTTCCTTCCTCCCTTCCTCCCTTCCTCCCTTCCTTCCTTCCTTCCTTCCTTCCTTCCTTCCTTCCTTCCTTCCTTCCTTCCTTCTTTCTTTCCTCCCTCCCTCCCTTCTTTTTTTGTTTTTGGGACAGACCCAGTGGAGCTCAGGGATTAGTCCTGGATCAATGCTCAACGGTGATTCCAGGGTGAGCCACATACAAGGAATATGCCTTACCTGTTTCACTGACCCACTTTTTTTTTATGTCTATATCTATAGTATTAAAAACAATGTGATTTACAAAGTTGTTCGTTATATAGTCGTTTCAGGTATTTAGTGTTCCAACACCACCAATGTGACCTTCCCTCCACTATAGTACCCATTTCCTCTTTCATCCCCAATCTTCCCCCTTAAGGGCACATAACAAATTTACTTTATATTGCTTATTCCAGCAAAACTTTAAGAAAAGACAAAAGAATGATCAGAAAATATATCAGTAAGAGCAAATTTGTGATTGCTATATGATTTTAACCTATGTAAATAAGGAAAACAAACCTTTAATTTAATGTAATACAACATTTGTCCTCATTTACATAAGTATGTTCTGAAATCTGGAATCTAAAGTATATTGTATTCAATTTTATTTTATATTTGGATTGCATCATGGTAGTAACCATGCCTTATTTATCTTTAATAAAACTTTTAAAGAAATTCTGTGCTAATATATTTTGGAGTCTGTATGAAATAGGCAGGGCATACTGATGTAAAGTTACTCCTATACTTTATGCAAACATTTTAATTTGCAAAATTGTTCATGATGAATATTACAGACATTCAGTATCCCAACACCAGTCCCACCACCATTTTCAGCTTCCTTCCACCATTGTCTCAAATTTTCCCAACCACTCCTCAAGCTTGCCCCCATGTCAGGGTTACAATAATTTATTTTATATTGCTTATTGTCAATACATTGCTAACAGAATGATCAAAAACATTTCCTTAGAAGAAAATTATGTGTAAATTGTTGTGTTTCACCACAGAGACATTAAGTTCTTGTATGAGAGATTGTTTTGTCTTTTCTTATAAAGGCTTCTTTTAAAACCAGACAAAAAGATTCACTCTTTATCAAAAACATGTATTTTGTTGTTAATTTATTTATTTGTGGGCCTCCAAAATGGTGCTCCGAGGCCTTCCAGAGATTCTCAGTAAGCAAAGCTGGCGATTTAATGTGAGGGTCCAAGGATGTGGTACTGTTTGGGTGCTGATGTGCTGAAGATATCCCCAGCCTACATCAGTGGTGTTTAAGGGTCTCCAGTACTATGCTGGAGATGGCGTTTTTGATAGATAATTTAGGACTGGGAATTGGAGTGTGGTCACCTACAAGCAAGTTATATACTTTAATCCCTATACTATTTCTCCTGCCCATTTCTAAGTAGTTCAAAATGAAATGACCATTAACAAAAAGTTTTTTCAGAAAATGGAAAAAAAGGTCTTCAAGGAAATAAGTGGAAGAGCCTTTCTTATACCACATCTTGTGTGTGGAGGTAGATAGGGAGGTTGGAAGGGGAAAACACTTCTTCATAAGAAGCTTCAAAATCACTGAGTCCTTCTTGACCCAACTATGAATTTATATCTTAA